TGAAAGTTTCTAAAGAATCTTTAACACTATCTGTGACGAGCTATTTTTATTTTCTCAGTGATGGGGGGGGGGGGCTTTCTGGCCCCCCCTTTTTTTTAATATCTAGTATTTTTACATTCTGCGTGTGAGAGAACCTGTTGTTAAAATATTTGAATCCCACCACTGCCCTACATGTAACTAACAAAGTCATACACCCATAAGCAATTTGGTACATACACTCTGCCCTCGCTTAATGGGCGATCGGGTTATGGAATTTTGCCCATACGGAAATTATAAAGCGTGACCAATAAATTCGGGGTACGGACCGTACATTCGCCCTTACGGAATTTTGGGGTAGATATAAAAATAATTTGGATACAAAATGCAAAAATAATAATAATAATAACCAATTTCGCCAAAAATAGTATTTTTTTTTAGAAATGCAGAGCACATTTCCAAGCGTAGGTGGCGCACTTTGTTCATACCAGCAAATACTTTTGTTACGAACGTCACACGTTCACGCATTTGTTCTTTGCATCGTTTTTCAAGTCTCTTCGGTTTATTACCCTTATTCAAGATGTCTGGAAAGAGGCCCGCAGTGGGACAATCTTGATGTCTCGAAACAGAAGAAGTCTTAAAAGCCAAAATCTAGATACAATAGTTCGATTACTGTCTGCCCATTACGATTTTAGTGACGTGTGGAAGAGGAGGGGGGAGTGCCGTGAAACCGTATGTTGCGTTTACGGCTGGCATCATTAGCACTATGGATTTGCACCACTTCTACGAAGTCAAAGTATTGGGATAAGTGGTTGGTAGTCAACTGAAGCTCTGTGGGTGGTGTTTCAATAACGTCCTCCTCTTCTGCAGCTCGCTCTTGTTCCAACATTATCAGATCCTCATTCGACATATCTTTTCCATGGGTCTTTAATAACTCAGTCACATCATCTTCGACGATATCTTTAAAAACAGCCTGTCTTCAAAGTACCATAATGTCTTGGTGAACTTCCCCAGCACTTTCTGCTTCGGGGAACCCTGTAAAATCGTTGGCACACTCTGGCCATATATTTTTCCACACACCATTCATAGTTGACTCCTTCACTTCTTCCAACGACTTGGTGATGTTGTCTATTGTATCCATTGTGTTATATTTCATCCAGAAATCATTAACTGTAGGCTGATCCTTTAATCAGTTGTTTCAGAGTTCTCCATAAGTAATATCTCTTGAAAATGGGGATAACACTTTGATCCATTGGCTGTAGCAACGCAGTTGTGTTCTTGGGGATGTACTCAACTCTTACATTATCAGAAAGATCATTCAAGTTTACTGGGTGGCTTGGTGCATTGTCTAAGATGACCAACACTTTGTTGCAATATTCCGTTTGGTACAGTACTTTTCAACAGCAGGAAGAAAAAATTGATGAACCAGTCCTTTTGGAGCCTTGAACCCTGATGCAGGTTTCTCTTCCCTAAAAATAAACGTTCTATCTGGCATGCGTTTTCAGAACAGCCCCATTTCGTTCACATTGAAGACTTGTTCTGGACTGTAACCCCCTTCATCAATAATTTTCTTGAGTTCACTACGTTATCTTCATGTAACTTCTACATCAGCACTGCCAGCCTCACCACTTAATTTTAAGGTTGCGCAAGTTAAAACATTTCCTGAACTTATCAAACCACCCTTTACTAGTCAGGAAGGGTTTTCTTCAGACCTACTACTACCACTTTGTTCAGTCACCAAATCATCACACAAACTTTCTGCCTTAGCTTGTATGACCATCTTTTTTATAGGCCCATTACGTTGGTTCTTGTCCTCAATCCACACACTCAGGAGTCTTTCCCTATTAAGCATAACTTCAATTCTATGAAAATACAATGTACGAGCACTTAGAGGCGTAACAACTTTAGCCCTTGCCTTGATATCACATATTGTTCCAACGCTAAGGGTAGAAAGTCTTAAAGTTTTGTCAATAGAGCTAAGTTTCTTTCTGTCATCAAACCTCCTTAAAACATCAAGTTTCACATTCAAAGTAACTCCTTTCTGTGGTCACTTGTGTGTACTACTTGCACTTTGACTTTCACAAAAGCTTTTTATTCCCTATCGTTATATCTATCTATCTATATATATACATACATATAAGAATCAAGTACACCTTTCAGAAGTAGTATTTATTTGGCTGTATCCTAAAATTCAGTTACCAAAGCCAAATGTTAATGACAAAGTCGTTACTTCAGTGTTTTAGTTCTACATATTCGAAACACATAGGGAAACGGTTTTCCTTATAAAAACTACATGATCTTGGGTGTTTGTTTATGTTATAGCAAAGCCACATTAGGCTATCTGCTATGTCCACCGCGAGGAATCGAATCCCGAATTTTAGCGTTGCAAGTCCGTAGACTTACCGCAGTCCAACGAGTGTAAAAAATGTATAGTGGACGAGGTGCATCCTAGATCACGTGTCTGTTTGAATCGTACACTCTGAAACATCTACATTAATAATACTAGTTTCAGTTTTAGATAGATTTTCTAATCTTAATATATATGGCGTTATGCATTCATTTCTACCACCTGCTTTGCCTTCTAAACAAATGTTTAGTCAAAAAAACTTTTAGATCCGGACGAGGCGCATGCGTAGAGTGGATTATTATAAATGTTATTAAGATATATACTTGGATAGTAGAAAACAATATCACTGTAACAGTTGTGTGGATGACTCTCATAATTAAAAGGACGATGTTGACCTGAAGATGGATTACCGTATCGAAATTTTGTCATTCTTCAAAAAGATCCTGTTGCCCGGTCATTATTGTCTGTGGAACATTAAAATTTCAAAACTGAAGAAGTAAGTTAGGTAAAAGAAAAATTCACTTGCACACACGGAAACGACGTTTCGTGAGTAAACAGCAAATACTAACAAAGAAAGTATTGGAAAATAACATGTAATAAATCAACGTTTTACCTGCATATTAGTCAGTCAACAATTTAATTTACGCAATAATCGTGACATTCGACAAACCTTATGTCACAAGAAAGGGATAACACAAATTAAAACACAGGCAAAAACCTAAAAACAGAGGTAATATAAGTTTGTTTGAAGTCAAGCACAAAGCTACATAATGGGCTATTTGTGCTCTGCCCACCACGAGTATCGAAACCCGGTTTCTAATATTGTAAGTCCGCATACATACCACTGTGCCACAGACTACATCAGGTTACTTGACCATACAGTCCAGACTATATATAGTTACTCTACAGTGGGTTAGGTAGACAATATGTTTAATTAAGTTACAACAGGTATCTAACCCTACTTTATAGAACAACCATATACAGTTTATATTGTGTTACCTGAACACAGTTCCTTACGACAAACACAGTGACGTGTATTTCAGGGCTGTATTACTAGCTGTTTATGAGAACAAACTAATATGTTTAATTAAGTTACAACAGGTATCTAACCCTACTTTACAATAATAAATCCACCACTGTAACATACTCGCTAATCAATTGATTTAATAACCTCCTCAAGTCTCGTCTAAATCCAGTTTTATATCTTCAAAGTTATTTCCTAAACCATCAAGAAAATTATCGTCTTGAAGCCACGCGTTCATCACGTGATGTTAAAACCTTCCTCTAGCGAAGAACTACAACAATATATAGGTCTAAACTTAAGAAAATGATTTAACATCACCTATGTGTAGTTTTTACAAGTAAAATATGAATAACTCTGGCGGTAAACAATATTAAGTTTGTATTTCTCGAAGACACACATGTTTAAAGAATTATTATCATTGTATCAATTACAACATCGACAGTTGCTTCGTTTAACTTTAAAGTTCATTTCTTAAATACACAGATTTATATAAACGATTACCGGACAAAGGACATCAGGTTACTTGACCCTACAGTCTAGACTATATAAAGTTACTCCACAGTGGGTTAAATAAACAATCTGTTTAATTAAGTTACAACAGGTATCTAACCCTACTTTATAGACTACATCAGGTTACTTGACCCTACAGTATAGACTATATAAAGTTACCCTACAGTGGGTTAGATAAACAATCTGTTATAGACTACATCAGGTTACTTGACCATACACTCTGGACTATATAAAGTTACTCTACAGTGGGTTAAGTAAACAATATGTTTAATTAAGTTACAACAGGTATCCAACCCTACTTTACAGACTACATCAGGTTACTTGACCATACAGTCTAAACTATATAAAGTTACTCTACTGTGGGTTAAATAGACAATGTTTAATTAAGTTACAACAGGTATCTAACCCTACTTTATAAACTACATCAGGTTACTTGACCATACAGTCTAGACTATATAAAGTTACTCTACAGTGGGTTAAATAGACAATGTTTAATTAAGTTACAACAGGTATCTAACCCTACTTTATAAACTACATCAGGTTACTTGACCATACAGTCTAGACTATATAAAGACTTGGCGGGTTTGTTATTCGGTTTATTTGTTACTCCAGTTTGGTGAATATTGTGTTTGTACTAGAGATGCAATAAGTACTACTATAGGCATGAAAAGATTAGCCAGTAAGTGGAAGTAAACAATTTCAACTTACAGGACTGTAATATCTTAAATTGAACTTCACAATGAGTGTTAATCTAAAGCAAATTAGAAAGTTTGAACAATAACCAACAGCTATTCTTCTATAATAAACATCACACGTTCCAAACAAAGGTACGTTTAAATATAAAACTAGTCAATATGTTAACAAATAATGAGAAAATCCTACCTATAGTTCACCTGAAAATTAGGTATGAACATAAAAAAGTTATAAGAATAGTCGTGATCATTTTAAAATTTGTTTATATATTGTTGTTATGGTTAATTTGTTGACCAGGTTGTGGTGGATTATCCGTAATAATAATGAAAACGAAAGCGTTTTATTTCTTCCACTATAATTCTACAACTTCAAGTTAATCTAACAAACGGCTACTGATAATAAACGTACCTTCACAATAAACGCTAAATAGGATCAGTCAATTCACTGGTTGAACAAGTAACACAGTGTAGTAATAAAAGACAGAGATTCAAGAGTAGACACTAGGTTCATATCACTGAAATCGCAGTATTCAAAACAAATTCTCCACGTCTATACAAGCAGACTGGATCGGATGGTGGTAAAAACAAGACAAAAATAGTTCTAGGAATAGAACAATGATGAATACAAGAACCAATAATTTAGTAATTCAGTATGTACATCTGTAACTAACATGATATGTAAAGCTATGATAGGACGATATCACACACACACAAGACATATATATGTGTATTGCATATTGTAAGTTCATAAAAACTTTCTACTGGTTTGGCTGGATTTTTCTTATAAGTAAGGATACTACAGGAAACGCCTCTTCATTAAACACTCTTAAAGATCAAGAAATAATTAAATTATCATTGTTAGAATTACGTGCTTTTAAAACAGTTGTTTACAATTCACTCCCATGGAATCTATTAATGTGTTTTATCTGTAGTGTTCTGTGCTAATTGTTTAAAAAAACCAACACTTGTTTTCTATGTCCTGTCACTTACACTTTTCAGTTTGTTCTTGATATTTCAATTGATGGTCATTTCCAGACTTCCAACAGCTATCTGCATAAATGTACTTATACAGGAGAACTTCATGTATACACTGAGTGGTCACAAGTAAATAGACACCTAATATTTCGTCATTTAACTGATTTATGCTAACTAATATGTGTTCACAGAGCACTATATAAGT